GTGATGAGAAGTGCAGAGCCAGTCAGTCCGTCGCTATCTAAACAACACTAAATTACATGGAAACTTGGAGAGAGTGGCACACAAACACTTCTATATGCACGTCCTCTGTTCTGTTCTCTCCCTTTTGAGTGATTGCAGAATTCCTTTGCTCTTTGTTGAAATTGCATTGCTTGAATACTTTCCACCTTGCCCCCCACAAGTAGACTGTATATTGGATTTATCAGACAGAGAGGAGCATGCATGGCTGGGCCAGGACTGTTGGAGTGGTGCAGAGGTGATGGGGCGACTAGAGTGGGGCAGTTTGTTGTGTCTGGAGGTTGTGTGGGGTTGTGTGGCCTCGTGGGAGATGCCCTGTACAGACACTGTGGTGGTGGTTTTGTTGTGTGGAAGGCTGGTCTATTATGATGATCTTTATCCGCAGACAAAAAGAAAAAACTTGATGAAGGATCAGACTGAACGTGAGGCAAATTCAGCCACGTTCATTCATCAAAAAGGAACGAAATGCATAAATTTATTCTTGTGAGCTTTTAGCCATGTTATAATGCTGTTACCTCCTCAAAGACATACCCAGAGTTGTGTTTTGTTTCATTTACACATGTTTAAGTACTGCTTTATTATCAGTCTCTCTACATCTGTTCCACCTTGTGATGGTGGTCACATTAACAACTCTCTACCTTTTGCTTACCTTTTGTTCTGTAGAGATTGACAGTTTCATGGTTGAAATTATCCAAATTATTTTAGAGAAGGTGTATAGAGTTTAAAAGCACAGTAGAGCATTTCCTGTATTACCCCATGGCATGACAAGGTAGAACAGGGTTTTGGTTTTCTGCTTGAGTGAAGAACTTGTGTTAAACATGTAAATGAAACAAAACCCAACTCCTGTCCAACACTTGCTTGTCTTTGCTTTGGTATCTCCACAGAGACAAGCAGGTTACATCACCAGTACAAGTACAAATTAATAAGATGTTGTACACATAATGACATAATAAGTAGTATGAGCTACCCTATAAACTCAAAATTAAGGTCTTGCCTTTGAGAGAGTGGTAGTAGCTGTGGTAGTTTTTGTTATTCAACTAAAATATTTACATGTCTGGTACTTTAAACTTTACTTTAAACTTTCACTTCTATTTACACCCGAAATTATTTGCAGTTGTACAATTCATAACATTTGTTCCTCAGCATTTTAAATTTCACAGTGGAAATTTTTCACTTACACCAATTCAGGTCACCGGAGCTCCTCTAGGCGTCCTAAAAGTTTCAAATTGTGCTGTATTTACCCGTGTCATTCTCTAATCCACTTTAGCTGTCTTCTCTGTGTAGATGTCAGCCTGTAGCCTTTGTCCTGTGGATTAGCCTTGCCCTTGTGTATTGTGTGACTTTATGTTGACCAGAAGGAGACAAGTGGAGGAGACAACGAGACAAAGAAGGAGCTAAGGTGTCAGGCAGCTGTGTACACCAAGGTCGTACTCTACGTCAGGGTCTGGGGCCATCACTGCTATTCATGCCTTCACTCAAAAGATGCAGTGTCACCATTTCATATTTCTAAGTGTCACGTAATGATTTGCATCTCTTTTTACGACCCAAAGAAAATCGGGCATGCTGAAATGAGCCAGTCTGCAGAAAGGAGGACAAGGTGAAGGCCTGAGCTGGAGAGAGGTTCCCACGGCCAGAAAATAGGCTGAAACGCTGGTGGCTCTGAGTGTCCCCTCCTCTGTCCCGTACAGGCAGTGATGAATGGGACATTTAATATTGGACGCTTTAGGCTAGTACTGGAATCTATCTGGCTCTTTGAAAACACCAGCTGCAGCCAACCATATGAGTCATAACCAGTATTATTCTGATTTGTATGTATTCATTTTATCTTAAGTGAAACTTTTTACCTTTGCTTCATTATGAAGTATGCACACTTTTTCACAGACAGACAATAATTTAAAAATGAGAGCAATATGGTGCCAATATGGTTTGAACACATAAGAAGCAGCATCAGTTATATGAAGTATATGCCCTATCGTGCACAGTTTACAACACAACAATTACAATGCTTTTTGGCAGCAGAAATATGGAAATATGGTAATTTCAACACAAGATAAACAAAAAAATATGATAACTTTTCCTGTTATGCAACCTGTTTTCTAACTAAATACTGTGAGGATTTCTATGGCCTTTATACTTCTATTACCACTTGGAAAACTGCTGCTACTATAACTAATACTACTAAAAACACGAGGGCCAAAATACCAAAGTAGTTGTTTTTATCACTCAACATTTCCTAATTTCAGGACAAAAAGGCAGTCAGTCACTCACTAACAGTATTACTTTCAAATGAGTACAGTTATTATTTAGAAATCAGTGTTCTATAAAAATATGCACTTGTACAAATGCAGTTCAGAGTAATTAGTTTACTTATTCGTATTCAGTATCGCTCCTGGAGACAGGGGTAAGTTCTTGGCCCAGTGCTCTGTGTGTGTCACATACCCGCACACACCTCTCTTTGGCGTTTGTCAGTGAAGATAATCCTGGTGATTAGTCCTGAACTCTCTCCTTTCAAGGTGTGAGGCTGTCTTTTCTCCCCAGACGAGAGGCTGAGACACATGAGCTCAAAGTAAAAGTATCAGAGTTAGTGTTGGATTACAGATGCACACACACAGCATCCTGTAAACTTCAGCCACACCAGCAGGAGCCAGGGACATGTCAGAATGCATCGCCTTTGGGTGCAATGAGTCCTCTGTGGATTAGAATGATTAATTATTAATTTTCCAGCAATACTTCTTACATTGCTTAGCCAGCTAAGAATAGAATTCAGCAATAGCATACTAAGATGTGTAGTCTATGCAGTGTTTTTTATCTGTAAGTTTAGATCTACGTGATTGAAGTGGCTGAGCAAACATGGCTGCTTCTGAGGACAGAAAAAAGGAAAATATAACATAGAGGACTGAAAAAACATTTTACATTTCTATAGCAAAAGAAAAATTTAAATCTGTCAACTGGACAAAAGTATTTTAGGGGTTTTGGAATTCATCCAAGCACCTAAGCGGTGAAGGGTGAACCACAAAACACAGTTAATCTGAGGTTAATCTAAATTTTGATTTGTTAAAATCTAATTTTAAATTATGATGATCAATGTGCTCCTCTGTTTCCCATGTATCAATGAAATTTAGGCTGGAAGAGGGGGCGACCAGACTGGCCAGACTTGATTTTCTGTTGTAATAAGATATTCATATGAACAACCTGCAAGTCCTATTAGTAGTTATTTGTTATTATTAAAGTAAAAAATGGTATAAAGTGGGCTGTATTGTTTCCTTTTGAAGATTTTCCCTGCATATAAACTATTCTTCCCATACTTATAATCAGGATTCTTTTCGGGAAGAAATCCATTATATTATACATTATAGCCAAAAGATTTCCCACATAGATGAAAGGAAAATATGCAAACACAGAAACACCCCACCAATATTTGAACTTGGGACCTTCTGAAATGTCACTGCAAACCTTTTCCTTACTGTGCCACAATAAAACTTCAAATAGCAGTGTATTGAATGGCATCTATTGTTTCAGATAACATGTGTACACAGTTCTTCTTTGCACCTGTATACGAACATGTGTTTCTAAGTAAGTGCGACAGACAAACACAGTGCACAGGGTTACGATGAACAATACTGGCGTGTCTCTTACATATGTTCTTCTTTAGTGGATCTGCGTGTGGGTGGATGGGTGCTCTGAGACTGAGATCAGACGAAACCCAAACTTTCCAGCACTTCATCCTGAGCACTGCCACTCATTTTCTGTCATTGTTCTGTGTCCCTTTGGCCCCTGTGCTCGTTAGCGCGCCCTTCCTGTTGCTTCATTCAGATGATGATGGACTGTCAGCAATACGATACTGATGTAGGAAGTGGAAGTCTTTTTTTTTTTCTATTAAACCCTTTTTTTTTTTTAAAGTTTCTGATGTCTTTTACAGTGGAGATTTGGTCCTATGAAAGTACCCTATTGTACATGTGTATAGTGGTAAGACATAAAGGAGCAACTAGGGACAAGCATGGAGATACAAGCACTGAAACTCCAAATAGAAAGGCCAAAGCTGATCCAGGAATGGAACTCAAAACCTTCTTGCTGTGAGGCGAGAGTGCCATGCTAGAGTTTAATTATGCGATATTCAAAGACGGGGAATAAGAGCCTAATATCTCTGAAGCAATAATTGAGCTGTCAAAAGTATTAGTATTAGTTTTAATATGGTTTTAAGCCGGGTGTACACTTTGCGATTTTTGGCCCTTTTTGAGCTGATTTTTCACTCCTGCGACTGTTTTTGGGATTGGGTCGAGTTTTGTCTTAATCGTGTGTCGTGCTTTGTGTAGTAAACATGGGGTAACAAAAAAGCGATTACTACCTCACCACCATCTCTCGATCGGCAATCGTAGGTCGCAGACATATCAAAACTGTTTGAAATCCAGTCGCCTCTGTTGAAGTAGTTCCACAAGCTGTGAACTTTTAAAGCCTGTGATTTGGTCATACAGTTTGAGCTGGGGCTGAGTGAAATGATCGAAAATATCGCCCAGTGTACGTCCGGCATTAGTCCACATCAGAATTCATATAAGAATAAATAAACAGCTATTACATGTTTTTAATAAAAAAATCCTACCAAGCCTTTTCCTAAGTTTAAAATTTGCATTTTAAATCAACAACAGCAATCAATAATGCGGTATTTTTGACTCTTACTCTTACTTGCTTATTATCTTAGTAATGAATTAGATCTATTATCTTGCTTTAATTTCTAGCCATCCTACCTAATGTGCTTGCTAACAGTACCCACCTTTATTAAACTTTACAGAGGAGACTGTTGTGATGTCATCTGTCAGTGTGGGAGGATGCCTGAGAAGCCTGTGCTGCTGTCTGCTTCATTGGCTCTAACGAGACTTTCAACACCGCCGTCCTAACTGACAAACTATGATTAATGACACCCTTCTTGTGTTTCTGTGTGTGTGTTTTTGGGACCCTCCCCCACCCAGAGGACCTGGACGACCTTCGTATGGAGGGCGTCACGGTGCTGGCTCTGACCGGGAGCAAGTTCAGTCAGGGACGCAGCTCATATCAGGCCGAACCCCAGGCCAAAGTCACACTCAACATCTGCTCCAGGTGTGCCAGGTAATTGTTCCTTCCTTCACATCATCTCTACGGTGTGTCATCAGGTCAGAAGAGGTTTTGCAGGGTGACTTAAAGTTTAAAGACTTTCTGGCAATATTAATGAAAAATAAGACAGGCTTGGTCTTGTCTGTTTAATAATTTTGTGGAGTTGTTTCACGTTTTAGGTGTGCACTGCTTGACAAGAAGTTTCTGATAGGTTGATTAGTATTAGAAATAATAACAAGTATGGATGTCTTAAGAAACATTTTGTCTCCTCTGTTGTCCTCGGGGCTTGTCACAGGCACAGTTTCAAGACGATTGAGTTACAATCAGAGTTTGTTAACCTTGAATATAGTTTAACTTTGTAGCAGTTTCCATGGCAACTCTGTGAACTTAATCAAATCTAGGACAAGTTTTATTCTATTCTTATACAAGTATTCAAACAATTATTTGCTTAGAGAGTAGGTCAGCGAGCCTAAAATGAAAAGCACAAACAGATGAATAGACTATTGTAAATGTCTTTAGACTCTTTTGATCCAGAAGGGAAATGCATTGGACACAGCAGCTCAGACATCACAATATATTATCATAACAAAAAACATAATTATATAAATGTACATGAACAAGTACAATAAAATATGTAGAAAAACATAGTAATACAAACATATTTCAGCCACAACTTCCCACTCAAGTCAGAAAACCTGCTTCTGAGCATTGAACACACTTAAGACTTAAAGGTACATTGTGTAACTTTTCTGATGGAGGGTGCTTTTCTCCACAGAGATGTTATTGCTTTGTCTGAAATGTTTCGCAGTATGGCATTAAACCTTTCCATCTTAATGTAAACATGAACAGAGCTGTTTAATGTCACACTGTGGAACATTCCAGGCAGAGCAATGACTTATCCACAGAAACAAGAAGGTGATGGACCCTAACCAAAAAGTTACATAGTGCGCCTACATAGTGCACCTTCAAAACTTTTGTAACTGATTAAAGCAACTGTACTACAATTGTACTATTATGTCATATTCCATACTGAGCAGGAAAGGAAAAGGAGGACAGTGAATAATTTGGATCATGTTTCACAATGTTACCAATGTGAAAAGTAATCTTTGATGCCTGTCTCATATAGTTTATCACAGATTTCCTCTTCTTGTGAGACATTCCCGTCCAAAATATGATCTATGCTTCTAGCTTTTATATTTCTCTCCGGTGAAACAGTTTAGGCAGGTGTAGGCATAGCACTCCTTGATGCCAGCCCCAGATAAACGGCTATGATTTCGATAAGACTCCGCACCACACACTACCGGCCCTTCAATCTTTGTTTGGGCTCTGGAATTTGCTTGTTTCCTATCTTCTTTCATTGCATCCTTATCAGTTTATATGCAATCTGTAATGTGCTATCAAAGATCCTGCAGGAGGATGCTATCACTGGATTCTTGTGGCTGTTTATGTTTTACACCAATATCATTCTTAAGGTGCATTGTGTCCCCTAGTTGGATTTGAGGCCTACATAATCTTCCGTATCTGGAGGCTGATTTTTGGCTCACACGTTGGATTTTTTCTTTGTTTTTTCCAAATGAAATGTCAGACATCTGTTCCCCTTCTCTCTTTCTTCTTCCCCTGTTTTAAGCCAAATTCTTGTGCTGTCCTCTTGAACCTGACCACCAAATCTTCCCCCGTTTTATTGGGGACGGACACTCAGTTCTTTCTTCTACTCAGGGTCATAAACAGATCACTAAAATGAGAGGAAAATATAGTGGCATTTGACTTGTAAGAGCAAGTTTATTTGAGCAGTTGTTACATATTGAGATAGATATTGAAAATTAAATAGTAAACTCATGATAGGCCAGGTTGTACATGGTTTTGCAAATTTTAACAGGGATTTTAACAAGGATACAAAATTAGTGCACATAAGATCATTGATATCAAACCATTAGTCAGTTTTCAAACCTCCTGAGCTTTATTTAATCCAGCTACATCACTGGGAATGTCATCAGATATATATATATTTTTTACCACTTTACAATTATTCTTTAACTATTAATGCTGTTACATGCTAGCCAGACTGGCGCCAGCTAGTGCCCCCGCTTAATTTCATTTCTCTCCAGCGACTAGGTCAGGAATCGGAATCCACTAGACGGTTTGCAAGAACTCCAGAAGAGCGAGTTCGGGCACCATCCAATCAACAAAGAACCATACATTCTGTGTTGGCAACGATTCCCGAGATCGAGCATTTAAAGCCAGAACAAAGAGAATGTTTGGCGAATTTTATCAAGGGGAAAGATGTTATTGCCCGTCTTCCTACAGGATTTGGGAAAAGCTTAATATACCAGTTAGCCCCATTAGTGGCGCATTACATACATCATGACTAAATAACAACGATTGGCTAAATTTAAAAAGTACCCGCCTACCGTTGAGTGAACGAATTCTAATGCTACGAGGTCAGATAGTTTCCACGAAGTGAAAACGGCTGATTAATCAGGCTAGTTACTTGCTGCCATGTTCCAAATATAAAGTGATCATGGGAGTGCTTCTGGCTCCATCTGACTTTTCATTGAACCTCTCTGTAACTGGTGCAGTGAGCCTCGTCATTTTCGTCTTAAAATGTTCGTATTAACCCACTCTACACGATTTTTTGTCCATAAATAAATTCCTATTCCTAATATGTAACTTAGCTCTATATTTGCTCCTATAAATGCGAGCTTCGTGAGCTTCACTTGACTGGAGCTGAATGCTATGGGTGTCGTCACACTTCCTTAGTTCACTTCTTTATATAGTCTATGTGTGAAGCTGGCCGCCATGATTGAAGGTTACATCCAAGCCATACCTTTCCTATGCCTTGTAATTGTAACATAAGCAGATGTTTGTAAAATATTTGGCCAATACATTATCTCATCACTGAAATCTTAAAATGAACTGCAGGTTAAACTGTCCAGCATGCAATCAAACCTCAACTCATAGTACACGGACAGGGCTGGTGCACACATGTCTCCCTGCACCTTGTCTATTCTTTGTATATGAGTATGAAGCACGTATAAGAGGTGTAAAATATGAGTTGAACATGAAGCTGCAGTCTCCTTGTATCACGTAGCAGATATAACAATAGAGTAGAGCGGTCGGGCCCAGCGAGAACACAGCCTGGGGTCGGACAGGCATTCCTCACATACCCTCACCCAAGCCCCATTACACACAGGCAGGGTTCAGTGTGCAAGCCGCTACAGCTCACCCAGGTCCAGTCTCAACCACTTTGGGTTTGAAGTCATGTTCTGTGCAGCCAATAAAGTCAACAATCACACAAGCCAGACGAGAGAAGTGGTGACGCAAGCATTCACACCCACAGCGTGAAGGCGACAACTCCCTAATGAGGAGTTATTCATTACCAGCAGGCTCTTTAAATCCAACTAACCCACTTTGATTGAACATGTATAATATATCTAATTTACAACATACAGCAAAAGGCACTCTAATAAGCATAGGTTTCATGTTCTCTTTCACTACATCCATAAATCTCACTTTAAAGTTCTCTCCCAGGCCTGGTAACCTGTACTATCACAGGGTATTTTTCATTTACTAGATGATTTTGTGCATGCCCCAGTCTGACTTTGCCATGCCTCTTTAATTTAAAAACTGTGTGGAAAGAGTATAGCATCTTCCTTCCTGTTTGAAAGCTTGTTTATAGCAGAGGTCCTTAACCTTTTTGATCTTGGGGCCCAACATTTTCATGCAAAAAGTAACTAGTTGCCCAATCTCATATTAAGTGCATTATATTCCTCTGAATGTGCAGCTGTACTTTGGCCCTGTAGTTAAGTATCACTGGTCTATAGTATCTGTTGTCATTAACACTACACATAATCAGATCTTGTGTAACGTTGAAATATGGTTTGCCTGCAGTTTATTTTGCATCGCGTGATATTGATCGGCCCGACGCCATATTTCTCTCAAGCCTTCCAAAACAATGACGTGAAATTCAAAACATTTGAAGTCTTTGCTCGAATCTTTTTGTTCTTTTTGTTTAACAATTTCAACTTTTGGCCAAAGTGTCCCCAATTTGTTCTCCCCTGTTGTTTAATCTTTGCGTGGCAGCTTGTACTTTCAACTTGTACTTTCCATTGCTATCCCATTTTGAACTGGTCTTCTTGCGGTTGTTGTTGCTCTCTTTGTGTTCCTGTCCAAACAGCGGTCCACATCACCAAACAAGACTGGTATGGCGGGCTCCAAAAGCAGTAGTGGCAGCTCCGGAAACCCTGTCCCTCCTCTAGCCCTCCTCTGGCTCACCGCTGCTTAGCCAGAGTGTAAAGTGCAGTGTGGCCTGACTGTTGTGGCGCGTCTCTTGTCTACAGGGCTTAGGCTGTGGTCTGTGCTTTTTGTTGGTTCTTTTTGAATGGCTGTGCACCGCTGCCCACAAAACCACCCTAGATGTGCTTCACCCAGATTCAGTCCAGAGTCCGGACAAGAAGCACAGTGCGGTCTGAGGAAACAGCACAAGTAAAAAGTCTACCCTCTGGGGCTTGTTCTTCTCATTACATTAATTGCTTTCATATCAGGAATGCACTGAGAGAAGAGTAGTGGCCATAAGGGGCTTTTAACCACCAAAAATAGGAAGACTGAGTGATAGCCATCTTGGGCAGTTTTGGACAACCATTAAAGACAGGAGATGAGGAGGGACATATGTATGGCGAAGGAGAATATCCTTTGAAAGAAATGTATGTTTTTAAGTTTGAAAACAAAAGAGGGGCTTGTGGCTTTGTGTCAGCATCTCACCACATAATAAATAACCATAGTTTCTTCCTCTCATGTTGGACTAATGGTTTCTTGATGGTATATGAATAGCTCATATCAAGATGTATTTGGGAAAAATGTATATGATTTATTCCATCCGTGTATTTTTCTGCTTGTTTCCGTTGGTATTGTGGATAGACTTGTCATTACAACCATAAGGTCCACATCATAGCTTTTTAGGTACCACTACATCCTCAGCTTTAACAAAACATGAACAAAGATTTAATTTATAGGGAACAAAAAGTTTATTAAGAATGAGTCTGCTTAAATAAGGAGTTAAAGTGTCGTTATGATGAAATGTTACCGCTTTTAAGATTCTAGTTTAAGTATCTAAAAAATGACCTATGACCGGCTCGCTTCTCCGAGTACTTGTGGTTCAGAAGTACTGCTCTACACGTAAAATCCATTTCATTTCAAAAACAACTATAGGGGTTTGGAACAAAAGGGAAATGGAAACTGAGCCTGTGTACAGTGCTGTGGTTTTTCAGTATATAGAAGGATGTTTCGGAGAGTTCTGCGCCCCATTTCTCACCATATGTTTAGACATGCATTAGTATCATATGGATCAGACAGCTGCAGGGTTGGGCTGCTGGAGACTGGGATCAAAATGAAGTGGAAATCTTTAAGTTTAGGGGTAAACAATCTCTCTGGAAATCTAGTTGAAGTCGAGAATATCAAGTATATTTTCCGTAATACGCGAACTGGCTGTAAAAAGATCTGATAAAGCTAAAGTGATCTGACCTCTGCAGTTTTCTGGTTAATTTTAATGTCAGTTCACTTACAGACCTACTGTCACATTTTAGTACATATCTGAAAATATTTACTTATAAATATTGTGATTATTGGTCTAGATAACAACATAAATCAGCTGTCACACAATCAAACCAAAACAATAAACTTCCGTAAACTGACAACTGAGCAGGATTATAATGTTGTTTGCTCTTTCTCAACTACTAAAACAAATTTTCAGTGATTACACAGGATTCAGTCCAGTTTTCCAGTGTTATGCAAATCTTCTTACTTCCTCCTTGTGCGATTGTGAAGCTGATCTCCTGTCCACTTTCCAGACATGCTGTGCTGTGTTGTGGCTTGTGTTGTGTGTAACAATGCTAACAGTTGTGTATACATGTCTCCAGGCTGCAGGGCGATTCTTTATCCGACAGATCTGAGGAGGATCACCGGGCACACATATTGGAACAAGCTGTACCTGACATCTCCTGTGAGTTTCAACACTGAAAACAGACTTATTTCATCTGAATGTTACTTGACGCTATCCCTGTCAATACACGGAAGACCACATTAACATTGCACTATGTATGTAACTTTTCCGATGGTCTCTATGGAGATGTTGTTGCTTTGCCTATAAAGTTCCGCAGTGTGGCATTAAACACATCTATCTTTATTCAGTCACGCACGTTTTAAATCTTCATAAATATCTCAAAAATGTACATTCTGTGGTGAGCATCCCCGCCTCCACAGATTTGAAGATATTAATGCCATATTGTGCAACATTCCAGGTAAAACCATACCACCCCCGGGGAGACAAGTCAGTGACACATCCTTCACTACAAAATCTTTATCGTTAATGACTTGAAATTGTGCAATTTGAACACGGTGTTTTCTGATTTACCTTATATTACGCAACCATTATGCTCATGGTATTTTTCCTTCTCTTTGTGGTATATGGAACAGCCCCATTGCCAGGGGTGAACTCCGCAGCGGGACGGGTGCAGGAATGCGAGTCGTCATCTCATGTATCTACCTCTGTAAGTGTCCTCCCTCTATCCATCACCCAACAATTAAGATCAGCTTACAGCCATCAATTACACCGTCAGCCTCGTATTCTCACTGTCTATTGTGCAAACCACCTTGAGCTTAATGGGACAAGACACGGGCAAAAATCAATCCATCTCTTAACAAAAAAGCGATACCCCAATTAGGATCCCACTGTATCACTTTGCTCTCCTCTCAGGGCACTTACGAAAGGACAATAATGAAAAGAGTATCGCCTGACCCGAAAACAATTGAGGACGATTTAGATGTTTAATACAATAGGGCAAAATATTGACCTGCTACAGTAGCTTGCACAGTTCAGTTTGACATTGCGTGATAACTTCCAAAGGGAGAGACGCGATGAAACCACTCTTAGCCACAGTCACATGCGACTAATAAGGCAACAGCTAAGGCGGCGCTACCATCGTCATTATAATGTTGGCTTTTATATAATAGGCCGCTCTGAGTGTGAGTTTTTTACAGAGGTTTTGAAGAAATAAAAGAGCTGGAGTGGAGACGTGTGGGGAACAGATGCACGCTAACTAAGAGCAGACTTCTTTAGAATATACACGTCTTATTGCTTCAGTCTCTTGGTCTAAAAAGAAAAAGAGTCCATTTATGCTTCAGATTTATCGTAACACTTTTTTTTTTAGCTTAACTTAAAGGTGCAGTATGTAACATTTCTGATGGGGATTCGCCACCTTCTCTCCATTGAAATGTTATCTTGCATTTATTCAGTTACATTGTTTTATATCTCACAAAACATGGAAACATGAAATTACGACCAGGATTTCCATTACACAGATTTTACCTGTTGCTCAGTCTGGTGGTGTCATCTACTTCTTTATCTTCATAGAGATAGATATGTTTAATGCCATACTGTAGAACATTCTGAGCAAAGCAATAACATATCCTTGGAGACAAGCAAGGGGATGTTCTCCATGAGAAAAGTTACAAATTTCACATTTAAAATGGTTAGATTCACTTAATACTAATATACAGCCACTTCATCAGAAATCCATTAAAATAAAGAGCCTATCTTTAGAATCTAAACCAGATACAAAATACAATACAATACAATCTTTGTTCAAGATAAAGTGCCCAAACATGAAGCTCTTTTTGGCATGTTTTACATCAAGTACATTTTCTATTCTCTGATAACTATCCCAAACATTGTTCATCAAGTTTGTGTGTCTTTGGGCAAGACACTTCACCTGCCTTGCCTCCAGTGTCACCATTTTATGAAGAAGCTAATGCATTACTGTATATTACTTCTGTTTTTTGTTTACTAAATGTCCTGTTTTACTACTGACTGCGTGAAATTCTTCTTTGATACCTATCAATACAACACTTACTAACTTTCCCATAATGCAAGCCATACTCACTACTTATGTTACTACAGCAAACTGTTGAATATGTGCTATTAAATAACCCTTCTATCTTTAAATAGCTTTCCAAAACATTTGTTTCCATACAGCTGCCCATAAACATGTCTCATGTTGCACTCAGTGCACTTGGCCACAGAGCGTCCATAGTGTTGTTATAAAGTCTACACTGTTAACGGTTATCGTTATGACTCTGCTGGCTGCCAACTCGTTTAGGTGATAATTGCTCCATAAAAACAAATATTTTCCTTAAGCCATCACCAGACCTAATTCACTGTACACTTTTTGGTTTTATTGTAATCATATTCTGGGTGTTACCATCATAAAATCGTCCAGGGGAAACTGTTCATTTGTATGCTCCAAATCAGATAATTAGCCTCAGCGTGTGATGCAATGCCGTGTGCAGGATACAAGGCTGGGATAGTTTATTTATGTTTCCAAGGGGAAGTTGGCCCATGTTCAGCCAATACACTATAGCTTTTATATTTGGCACTTAGGTTACTGCACTTGAATGGTTATCCTCTACACGTGATTAATTCACTTACAATCTATCAAACTATGACCACTTGAGCTTTCCAAATTTCTCTATTACTTCACTCTTTTGTTGATAGTACTAAGTGTTCTTCTTAGCCTTTGTCAATCATACATCCCCTGTTGTGTGCTGATAGGGCTCGGGTAATTAGGCGCCATGACAAAAAAATGTTATAGCAAAGTTATTCATAATGATTGATCACAGTTTTCAATTTGATTTGATTTTGTCCCATTAAAATCAGATAAAACTGACTCTCAATATTTATTTCCTGAACATAAACAAGACACACGCTTAATCCATGCCATTTAACATAAGAAAATAGTCTGAACTTTGCTCCAAACCACATGCTGACTCAAGACTGGCTATAGACGGCTTGATTAAAAAGACTCAAGTTTGATGAATTGCTCAGCCTACACCAGATGCCCTTTCTGCCATAATAGTCTCCATTTATCCATGCTTGGGTTTATGGCTGCATTTTGTGTTGTACTAAGATTTGCCATCACATTTCAGTTGTATTGGAAAACTAATACTTCTAAATACTGCTAAATACAAGAATAATTTGACAGTGTAAACTCAAGTGATTGGCATTATTTTGTTTGGCCTTTGTGTATCTTTGAACTAGTTTGTGTACATATTTTCATCACTTCAAAAACCTTTTTGTGATCCAGCACTAATCAGAATCATTCCTGTTTACCGCAGGATACACTCACTGCTTATTAGAATGTTTAGGTTTCTTGCAAATATTTTTCTCATTTTGTTTGCTGAATCGAAACTTTATAATCACCTTTTTTCAGAGAACAAATCATTTCATAATAGAGGGTTGCATTTATTTTTACGGTAGGACAGCAACCTGACGCAAATGATCTACCAATAGCCCAAACAACAGGAACTAATAGAAAGTATGGTGTTTATTGATGTGGTTATTTGACCTACCAAATTCTGCTACAGTTAAATGACTATAATCAGTTGGTGGAGCAATTTCAAGATGTAAAAGTTGAGAACAAGTTGTTTTTGTCTCAGTTTTTTCACCACAAAAATGTGCAGAGTTGCCTTGATGCGCCCCATGAAACTTGAAAAGCTTTGGCAATACCTTTCTTACAGCAGGGCTCTTTGATGGAACTCTGTCAGGTTCAATGCGTCATGGTTCTCTGTGATGAAGATCTGATTTTTTTTAAGAAGCTCCTCACTTCACCTTGCTGCGTCAGTTCAAACTATACAATCAAGTACTGCAGAAACACTGGACTACTGCTATTTTAACCTGGAAAGACTCAAACAGACAGAAAAGGAAAATATTAGTAAGCTTTACTGAATGAGTTATCTTTGGCGCTCAGACCCCGCTAGAAGACATGCGATGAAGGCCGAGGAGAGTGATGGGGATGATGAGAGGATGAGGAGAGTGAAGGGGACGAAGAAAGGGTGAGGAGGCACTGGGGAGGAGGTGGGGCATGACACAAACTCAACCTGGTCAAGCATCTGCAAACGAGGTTCAAACTGGGTAGACTGGGTGCTAATTAGAAGAAGAGTAGGTGCAATGGGAGTGAGGTGATGAAAACTGAGGAGCAGGTAAACTTTGGAGAAGCGTTGAGGTAGACTGGAGTGAGGTTAGGTCTTCCGGGCTGAATTACGCTAGCTCCATAACTTCTACCACTGCTGCTACAACTAATGTTACACCTACTTCCCTACTACTACTAATAATAATACATCAGACTTATATAGCGCTTTTTTGGACACTCAAAGACACTTTACAAACAAATAAAAAAGTGACACTGTAGAAAAAGGGGAATCATGGGGGGAATGCCAGTTTGAACAGGTGAGTTTTTAGTAGTGATCTGAAGTGCTGCAGTGAGTCCGAGTTCCTGACGGTTTGTGGGATTGAGTTTGTGAGTTCCAGAGGGAGGGGGCGGCGGTGGCGAAGGCTTGGTCACTACAGTTAATTTTACTAGTTATACAATTTAATTTCTATAACTCTAATTTTTATCACTACTATTGCAACTTCTACTTATACTTTAACTACTCCAACTACTGCTATGGCTACTACTAGGGGGGGGGCAGGGCAAGAAGCCTCACTGGGGCCCCCCTTTAATATAAATTAATACAATTTAATAAAACCCTTGGGCCCGGGACAACAGCCCCCTTTGTCCTCCACTGTCTACTGCCTTGACTATTACTACTATTAAGGCTACATTAACTTTACCATTATCACTATTACTACACTTGCTACCACTAATACTGTTACTGCTACAATGATTAATACAACCACTACTAATATTACTACTAGTATTGAAACTGCAAGCACTACCACTTTTGCTATAACCTCATATTGCAACCATATTGCTATATGTTTCATACTTCTTCTACCATTACTGGGCTATTTTAATTACTTGTGCCATCAATTATTGCAGTTGGCCTTATTATTGTACCCCATCTGAAACCTGACTGCATAATGTACAGAATCACAGCATACGTTTTTGTTACTTGAAAAAAAGACAAAACTATTGCCAACTTGGATCTGCTTTAGAACTGAAGTCATTGACCCCCAGGCAGACTGCATGGTTGGCGTATCACTGCGTCATTTGTATATTAGCCGTAATGTGTTTCAAGATGTAAACCAGCACTTTTATAGACGCTCTTTGTGCTTGGGTCGTGATGTTGGGAGCGCTCTTTCATACAGCACAGATATGTCTCCAGTCACCGCGCTGGGCCCTGTTGGATCCAACCCCAGATTGTGGTGATTATTACTCCTCCTGACCACACACATATACTGTAGAGGCACACATGCTCACTATAAAATCTTTAACTCCAAAACATGGAATCAATTTCACCAGAAACCAGACCCATGTTTGTTAGTGGGACCAAAGCATCCCCAGAAGGCCTTTCACTTCTCTTCAAGCTCTTTTGTTCGGCCACGTTGGGAAGGGATGCTGGCATTAATATTCTCATAAGTCATTGGAAAATTATAGCCATTCTTTATTTTGCAGATAAGATATCGGATCATCTCATATTTGAGTCAGTTAAGCGTCCAAACAGAGAGAGTGCCCAGACAAAGTACACTGTCCCACATGGTCACTGATGACTTAAATATGACTTTATTATGTCCAGCTCATCTCTCTAGTTCAATGCCAAAGCACTTGGGTGTACAAACCCAGCTCACCATTGTTGTGTCTCTTTCAATATAGTTTTATCCTGGTTAATTTTGTGCAGTTTTGGCATCCTGTTACTCTTCATTTAAATTGAACTTGTAATACAGACATTGCATTGCACCCTGAAATGTATATTCTGATTTGGTCTTGTAACAAACAAGAGTTCACAATCCAGCTGGCAGTCTGAATCTTGCTGTCATGAGTTCATACTGTCTTTATGTCCTTGGCCAAGACACTTCTCCCATCCTGACTGAATGACTGGTGACAACTAGTTTCTGTCAGTCAACTGCACACACCACATCAAACTTATCAGGGAAAAATGCAGGACTAAACCCGCACTAGAAACATCTATTTCAGGTCTTAACAGTGTTTATACAAAGGCAAACACAGAACCAGTGTGAATGCAACCATTTAGTCTAAGGAGTGAATAAAAAGTGCTTTAGTAACGGTTTGCCTCCCCTTTTTAAATATAATTTGCTCTAACATTGTGAAATCAAATCCAAGTAATCTTTAAACCTCTCTTGAATGTTTATTTTCTTTCTCTGGTATTAGTATCAACAAACCTGGTGTTTAAAAAGTCATAAAGAATATTGCGGGTGTCTATTTATATCCCTAATGTTTACAAGCTGTGGACTTGGGTGATCGCACAAATGATGAAAAAGCGATTGGAGACATTCATTGGGATCTGTTGGTGGCCTTGTTTGGCTGAGCTGACAAGATCCAGAGATGGAGAGGGCCCATATGATGTCACGTCTTGGAAAGGCCTGACACTGGCTCAGAGCTCGGGGAGGGCTATACTTGTAATATTGAACTCGCCATGCCGCTTTATGAAGCCTGCAATTAGGGCCTGGCTGGAGGCGCTGTGGCTATGTTTCCACCAAGTGCCTCCTGCGCTCTATCTCCCCGACAGAAAGATCAATGGGACACAGCCTGGGAATAATACTCTGTCATTTATCAGCATGTCAGCTCCATTCTATACCATATGTCTTCTCAACAAACTAGAAGTCTGTACATGCGATATATCTACATCACTATTTGTGTTGGAATAGGAGACTTAATGATAAAGTTACCAGTACATGACGGTTTTTGATGTTGACAAAAATTATGTTATTGACTCTTGACTATAATCAGAGAGTAACAAATCTGGGATGTCATGTGTGCAAGTGCAAGCTATATTTGAAAAATGAGAAACCAAACCTGCATGTTTATACGTATAGGTGATAAAATAGTATAGGATGTGTTGCCATAGAATAACAATGTTTGAATTCACTTGTTTATTTATCTGTCTACATTTTGTTCAGTAAATAACTATGCACTTATGATGTACCATGACATTTTCACCTCAAAATGCCTCATATGTGAATTTACAGCAAGAGATATTACCCTATTTGACAGATTTTCTTTCTTATCAGTGCTACAAGCTCAACATTGTGTGAAACCCATCATCTGGCCTGTCTTACCCAATTAAGAGAATACATCCAACACACCATCTCCAGATTTTATGATGATAGATACTGAAGTTCATTTTCAAATCAAATAATAAAATAAACTTCAGAATAAGATAATGATTGTAGTGTTCAAAGGTTTTCTGTAGACTTCAAAAGTATTTGAGATATTTCAGTCACTGGCTGTTTGCCAGCAGACGAGTGTGCTTTTGTGGCTCCTATGTATTTGCTAATATAGAGCTTTTCTGAACCACTCCTGACAGACTGTCTACTTCCATTCACCAAACAGAGCACACTACACACGCCTCAAGCTTTCATCTAAACTTGCTGTGGTTTCTTGTGTTTTTCTAAAGCTCATAAAATAATAATTGGCTCCTTTTTTACCAGCAGATATGGCTCGGATATTTCCAGCAATTTCCAAAAATTATATAAAGAGTTTAATTGAAGGGTCTTGGCTATAATGTGTGTGTGACTTTCTCCCTTTCTTCCAGCGTCAGGCTGTCTGGGAGGCTGATCTGAAGCCCGTCAGAGGTGGCACTTCCCTGGGACACTCGGGCCTGCTACTGGGCGACTCCCTTTTCTCCAAAGAACTGGAGAACATGGGCAAGCAGTTAGCCGGTATGTACTTCTGTGTGGCTCACTATATTGGTGGCTCTAATAGTAATTAGCATGGTTAAGTCAGATCAAATGCAGGCTTTATGGAACAAAAGCCAGTCTGCAGTCTACAATGCACTCAGGCCAGACTATAAAGAGAACACAGACAGAAGGAGGGAGGGGGGAGGCCAATCAAAGAATGTACCGCTTTTGAAGGGGGATCTGTCTTAATTAAAGCAATGTCAAGTTACTGTTCACAAACGATTAGAATAAAAAGAATGTTAGCTCATAGTATTATCATCATCATCATCATCAGTTTTTGTGCTCATAATATTTTAGATGGCAGTGACACTGTATTTTGAAATGTACAAACAACATTTGGTTGTGAGGGAATATTTATACTCTTGCACCATATTCAAAAAATTGTCTTAACTGGGAACTGGGAACATAGAATTAAAACAGGAGTAGACCCTACTAAACCAGGGGAAGTGTGAATGCAGCCTACAAGTATATTTAAAGCTATTAGATAATATAGCCTTACTGACATATAATGCATTGACGTATGTGGCTGTGATGTCATGAGACTTGCAGTCTGCCTCTGTGTCATTATGATGTATAGTGCAACGAGATGAAAGCCTCACTTACCATCATATGTCCCACACTTGTTTGTCTACACATGTCCTCCCACTCTCCTCTGCAGAGTGAGTCAAAGCCCTGTCCACACTTTCATATGACATCAGTAATCCAAAGCATATCTGATCCTGCTAAACGCTTCACTGGCAATTCATACAAAACGACGGGATGGCTACTACCCCAGTGGCTGTCACATGGCATTGATCTGCAGTCTGTCTCTGGATGTTTGGACAGGGAGGTTTAGAGGAGGTGGTTGGTGAGGCTAATTTCACTCTTTCAACCTTTGATTTGTGGCTAATTGATTCCATGTTGCAGGGAGACCGTTACTTTTCATCTTAATTGTGGCTTCGGTTAAGTGCCCTTTCTGTCTGCTTTCAGTCATAAAGTGCACCTTTGAGCACCGCAAGTGATAAGTGCATCGCCTGCTTTATGTGATTCTAATGGGAGAGGCTGAGCTGTGTGCCACAGTGTATAACTTAAAGCTAGTCCACTGGCTCTTGAACCACTTTGCTTTGGAGCTTTTTGGCATGGTTATGGTGGTGGACAGTGGTCTGCTATGTGTGCAACTGAAGTCACTCAAACCCAACAAGTGCATTCTTAAAAGTTAAATCATAACTGTTTTATCATAAGGCAGATGTCAAAAACACATTTAGTAATTATAAGTTTGTGGTCCTGTGAGACAATGCACATTTCAAATGTCCGAAACAGGCTTAAACCAGGCTTCCATCAAAGGTTTCATGAACATACAATGCTAATTTCAAGCCAATCAGAAAAATGCATAAACAATTGTAAAACATGATACATTTGTTTGTTCAGATTGTTCCATGTCCTTGATCTTTATTCACAACAGAAACAACAAATCAAGTGTTTAAACTTGAAAAATATGGCAGCAACTAGTCTCAAAGATGTTCACTTTAGTGCCATTGACGATTTATAACTAACTTTATAACTTAGGCAGCATCGTTTTATTTGATCTATTTACATTTTAAGTCCAGGCACTTATTTGAGACTTGATTCTTAAATAATTTGACCTCTGCATTAATATTTGATGCAACATCTTGCCTTCTTTTTTTTTTTTTTTTTTTCTTTATGCTATTTTTATCCACTATCACATCTTCTGCCATATTGTCTGAAACATATGAAATCATTTTTGCTCTGTGATCCTGATGGTACTCCTTTGTTCTGCTGGAGCTGTCATGGTTTATCAGCGTCTGTGTGAATTCCCTATGCGTTTCGTGTGAGGGCCATACAATCCGCCGCCTAGCCTTTCAAAATAAAGCTGTTTTTGATAGGTAGCTCTTTAATAGAACGGCACTCGCTCGGAGAACAACTACGTTTACAATCAAATCATGCACTGCAGCAGGTCTTAGATTCACTTTCTCACAGTAACATGTGGTGTTTATCAGTATTTCCCACAAATAACTTCAGATGAAAAAATCAGCATGTCCTGTTTAGAGCTTAATAAAAACAGTTTTCCAAGTGCGGTGTGGGAGACAATGAACAGTACATGTTTCTGACGAACTTTTAATTTTTGCTTTATAATGGCTGTTAGGATAAGCAAGCATAATAATTTATTTAACTTGTTCAATAATAAACATTTCAGTGCCGTTATTTTGAACTTACTTACTCAATCATAAATAAAAGACAACATTCTTCAAGTTTGGAAAGACTTTTTGTATCCTAATTACCAAACAAAAACATGGAAGTTCAGCTTTTGCGAAATGCTTGTCATGCTTTCCTTATTTAACCGTATTTATTTAACGTCACAAGTATACACTTCTCCAGAAATACTCCCCTCTGACTCATTCCTCCAATTATGCCTCTTAAATGATAACTCCCAGACCGGTTTGTTGAATCTCTGTTGCCAAGTTGAACAAAAGTATAAAACATGGTGGAAAATGACCCACATGTGGATCACACAAGTTGGCAGTGTCATGTCTTGCACAAACAGGATTGTTTTCGAGACTACCAGTGAGGCAAACAAATGTGTTTTTGTCAGGCAAATGAAAGTCCTGGTGACTGTAGATCATACTGTGAGTGTTTCTGACAGAGGAAACACCATTCACCACAATTTACAGGCTGTATAAATATTGTCATCACTGCCCCGAAGAAGGATTTAACAGCGCTGTCTCGCCCACTTTAATGCTCGGTAAAGTTTGTGAATCATCACCCCCACAACAAGACACATGGTCACATTTCATAACTTCATGAGAGGGCCTGGTTTACCTCAAGATCTCTGCAGACTTAGGCTTCTGTAAATTATTTTTCTCTTTGTTAAGTTTGCTATTATACTGTTTTATATTTTGCCTGATCAGTTCATTCTTAGCAGGTCCATTTGGATGGAAGAGCTTTTATTTACATTGTTTGTGTTATAGTTTGCCTTGTGTGTTTGATAGTACCACGTAGGCTAGGCATAAGGCAGCATTCCTCTAAAGCATCTAAGTTTTGTCCTCTTTCACTACATCCATAAATCTCCTCTTTGAACTTCTTGTAGGTCTGTTGTTTGCCAGTGTTTCTCCTGTGTTCTTCCCCCCATATCCAACATTGAGTAACATCATCCGACCTCTGGGCATGCCAATCGGGCCCCAAGGGTATACCTTAAAAAACTTCATATAACACTGCAATCCATCCTCATATGTCCCAAGAGACCTTCAATATCTCTATATGTTCCCTTTTACACAACTGTCAAATAAAAACATTAGATTATTAAAACAAGTTAGTGTTAATAGCAGTATGATATGATTAGGCCTGTCACAATAATTACCCATATTGATTTATCGTTTAATGTACGAAAGCTGGAACGTATATTTTGTGGCTCAATATTTATCATGGGTACATTTTCTTAACAATAGTGGGGAGAATTTTGTTTTGCTCATGCCTTTTTATAATTGTGTAGATTTAATAATGGTTTACTGGGATTATACTGCTTTAGGGTTACTGTGTCATGACAGGCCTAGATATGATTTTCCATTGAGGTTACCTGTTGATTTGACTTTCTTTATTTATTTCTATCCAGAAGTTGAGAAGGACCTGGCCAAACTGGCAGAGGTGGGGAAGATGACCGCTCGTAGCTCCAATAGCCCCCACAGTAGCTTGCTCCAGAACCCGCTACAGCACAGGACCCTCCCAGACACTCTGCCCCTCACCAGCCTCCTGTCCCGTCCACAGTCTCCAGCCAGCAGCCTCTCCAACAAGCCCAGCAGCACGGGCCTCTCCTCCTTCAGCTCCAAACCCACCACACTGGTCATGGGTCGGTCTCCCAGCAACCCTAGCAGCAGGACTCAAACTCCCAGAACCCCTAGCAGTCGCCCTCTGACCCCGAATAGTTTACTGACACGTAGCAGTTTTAACCCTGGGGCCCATAAGGAGGTGACCTTCAGGAGGTCCAGGAGCAGACCTGTAACCCCCACCAGTCAGCCCATGCACCCCCGCCCACTGCTCACCCCACCAGGGCTCAGCACCACCGACAGCCTTGGAGCCAGCCTAAGGGCCTATCTGTCTGAGGTGAGGCGGACTTTCTAACACACTTTTTACTGCTGTTATTATGTTACTTCTACTGAGATTGAACCATATTACTTTCACAACTTTCACTATTCTATTATATGGTACGACACTGGGTACATTAAACGCTTCAGAATTGCAGACCACGCTATCCAACAATTTCCTCCACTTAATTTGGTGGACACTTTCCCAGTATTTCTTTGCATTTTATTAGGTATGAAGCCAGAGCTGAACACTTTCACTTTGTTATTGTGAGAAATTATAACTTCATCTTTTTTTTCTCTTTTGTGTTTCATATATTACATCAGGTTACAGACTAGTGTAGGCTTGGTTATACTTGTGTAAACTTGTATAACATAGTTTAAGTGAGAATTAACAGTGGAGAAGGAGTGGGGGGAGTGAGGGTCTATTCTAATCTCTTTCTATCTAGAGGGGCACATGTGATCTTTCGTGCCTGGGGCCCTTAAAGATCTTTGTACTGCCCTGGCTTTATTACAATGATGCAGTATGACTCTGAGTAGTATGTGCAGTAGTCAACTCCAGTATCACACGTGTGCGCAGTTATCCCTCTGCTCCGTCGTGTGGGGTTTGGGCCCGGTAGGTCTCTACAGTAGGATGTCATTTCACAGTGGAAAAATGAGTCTGGCATTAAAGGCAAACTTTGAATGGGATTTAGTTCTTATAGGCCTTTCATGATCTACTTAACAGCAGTGCTATTAAATATGAGACCTTTTTGAAGGCCTTATTAATGGTGGGCAGGAATTTCTGTGTAGTTCTGTGACAGTTACACCAGCTGACACCTCATGAGATTATCCACAACACTGGAGAACTTTTTTATTGAGACCACCTGGACCTAAGTGCAAGAACAAACCAATCTAAAACTATTGAACACAATTTTATAATATGTCAACCTTTCATATATTTAGTTTTAACAGCTTCCATAAAAATCAACCTGAAACATTTTGCCTGTCAAAATAGCATTTTGTCTGTCTCTTGTTTTTAAGGAATTCCATTTTTATCATTTTTGGATTCATTTTTAAAACTATCTTTTGTATAGTCTTTCTTCATTCTAAGCCGATTACCTTTTTTTAATCAACATAACTTTATTTCATATTAATTTCACATAATTTCTCTGACCCTTCGTCCTTTGTCAGTGTGAAAAAGGGGAGTTATTTTTCTAACCCAGTTACAAATCACTCTTCAAATAAGCACCAAAAATAACAAAAATAATGAATCTTTTGGAGAAGCCTGGGAATCTTCCTTTCGTGATCTGGTACCACTATAGATGATGTGTGAAGGTGTTTCAGCCGGTGGCTCTTGCAGCTTTTCCATGTTTTAAATTGAAACCACATCGATTTATATAAAGACTACACGCTCTACATCTCCTCATTGTGATGTCTTGTTGCCAGGATGAGTTTTACCAGCAGTTGCAGGCCATCCGGCAGCCCTGGCGTATCCCCAGTGACACAGACAGTGACATCATGGACCCTCCGGAGCAGGACAGAAGTGAGTGACTCATTGCAATAATACTAGCATGACAAGTACAGCAATAAACGTAGACACACTGGTATAATTTAGTGGCACATAAAGTGTAAAAGATGGATTCAAGATACCTCAAGTGAATAAGACGTGTGGGAGTTCAGGCATGACACATATTTAAACATTATTTCAAGTGCACATTTATATAGTACATGTAGACAGCAGTTAAATCTTATTGTGAGGTCATTGCAAAAACTACATCACTAATAAACTGTTATATGAAGAGAATGAGGATGGATGGATGGGGGATGATGTTGTTAAATGCGAGGCTAAATGCTCAGTGTTGAACCACAAATGTATCTTGAAATAAAATCAAATAAAATCCGCTCTTTTATACTGCAATAACACTGGTTCCATATGGTAGCATGTAGCTAGACTTGCTAGATTACTTAACTTCCACTATATATAACTGGTGTGTCTGCCACATGCTTGTCTCCATGGAGATATTATGCTTTGTATGGTATTAAGCATTTTTTCTATTGCATTCATTCAATTGCAGGTGCTTTTATTGCTTAAAAGTATGAAAAATAGTACAAAACATGTATTCTTATTTTGAGTTATTATGTTACTTCTCTGTGGATCTGACTTGCAACCTGTTTGTCTCAGTTGAGATAGGTTAGCCTAATGCCATACTCTGAAACATTATCATGCAAAGCAATAATATCCCCAAGCAACAAGCAGGTGGCACACCCTTCACTACAAAAAGTAAGTAAGTGCACCTTTAATCAATCAACCAATGCAATCGACATAATCACAAGCATAGTCACTGCTTATATGATCTTTGCAAAGGGGCACAGCAAGTTGTCTGAAAATTTCATATGCATTTTTCAAAATTCCTCGACCCTCCAAACTAATCAGAACCTGTTGCTGCTGTAATGAAATGCATCCAAAAAGCATGTCATAATCCAAATAATCTTCCATATTTAGTCATGCTTGTCATAGCAAACAAAACATCATCATCTGCTGTTTAAAGTGATACAGATGTTCTAATGAATCGGATGGCTGCACGGGACACTGCAAACCAAAACTTCACTCGCACAACTCACACAACACGGAGCTGTACTCACTCAAGGCCCAGCGATTTGCCAATTCTAGAGAAATGGATGGTTACATTTTGCTAATAGCCTCTGGGGGCCTGCTCTAAGGTTTTGGCAGCAGCATAGGCCTGTTGAGAGTTTGAGGTGGTTCTACTGACAGAGAGAGAGAGAGAAAGGGACAGAAAGAAAGAGTCGACAGCCACAAGACGTGACAAAAGGCTGGGTAGCGTGAGAGGAGAGCTGCAGCCGCTCACTAGATGTGATTCATCTAAATGTGTGTATTAGGCAAGTGTATGTTTATTTATTTATTTTTATAGCCTTTCATGATAAGCCAAAGAGACAATTAACACTTGGAGACCAACATAAATTCACCTTGTAAATGTGACATGCTTATTGGTTCATAGCATTTCTTTGATTTTAGATCAAGAAATGTTGCAAACAATCCCATGTTGTTATTAATTGTAACAATTACAACAGAAACAATTACTGGATTCTAATTTGAGAAATTATAATTTTTAGATCAGTCAACTTTCTAGGAATGCTTTATTTGTGTCAGTTTAATGCTTGAATTAGCATGTACATTTTTCATTAGCATAGTAAACTTTTGTGATCTAGTACACAAATGTATCGTGACAACAGCAAATTCAGGGGCAAACAAGTCCAATGCTATTTCCTGTTATTCTATAAACTACCACTTTTGTCCAATCACACATACCACAGAGGAGATGAAAGCCAACTTCTCACTTCTGTGTCATTTACTCCACTGCTAATTCCCAACAATCTGCAGAACATTATAGCATAGAAGGAATCCTATCATTTTGCAGTTTTTTAATATGTTTTCTTTTGCAGGTGGTGCACAAGATGCTAACAAAAGATCAGTCTTTTCAGGTGTGTATAGAAAAGTTGGGCCTATTTAAAAGTAGCTCTAACCACCTGCATCATAGGCCGCAAGAACCATACCATGTTATAACTTCTGCTACTGCAACCTTTAGTTTATCCCATCTTAGTCTATGACCTCATTTTGTAGGGACCCAAATAACTACTACCATGTACACCCTTTACAGTATATACCTCCCTACCTTCATTTATGGTCCGTATATTTTGACCCCTGAGGCTAAACGCAGGGCACAGCAACTCTGGCTTCTGATTGGTCCAACCTTTTCATTTGCCTGGTTCCATTATGTCACTCGGTTTTGCGGAGTTTACATGCAGCAGACAGCGTCAAACTCTCAGCGTCAACATTTGGTGGAGAAGAGAGAAAGTCTGTCTGGTCTGAGGCCGTCTGCGGTCCCTCTTCTTGTGGTTCTGGAGGTGCCCACAGTTCCCAGCGTCACCATGCCAGTCTGGAGAGAGATCTGAGGAAAGAACTGCTGCTGCTTGTGGCTTTTAGCGTGTTTTCTAGCTATCAGGGTGTCCAAAGCATCACCAAGGCAACACTAACTCCAAAACCAAAATTTATTGCTTTGGAGCCTTCATTAAGCTCATTTTCCAGTTCATGTTTGTTCAAATATTAAATAGCGGCTTTAATGTTTTTGCCTTACTTATTATTCCTATTAGTGGTTATTTGAGCTTTGGTTGCTAGGACACTGACGTATTTCTCTCTCATTTTGACAGGAATTGGTGACTGGTGACGAAGACCAGCGATCCAATCATTTACAATTATGCAAAACCACTGGACATTTTGAATATATGTACAGAGAATTATTTTTATAGCTCACATGAATGAATTCAAAATGATTGTATACTTTTTCACAGATATTTCATAGACATTGTACTGTAAGGGTATGATTCTAATGTGAAAGTATAGGATATTCTATTTATTTTTGTTCGCTCTGTAGCATGCTATCAAACTTCCATTTCCAGAGGCAGATGCATTTAGTTGTTGACAGAAGTCCAGTCTGTGTGTGCTTATAGTGAGGGCAGCACTTTCTCTGTTAAGGAGTGGCTGTCACAACATGTATACTGTGGACAATAATGAATGCTATGAATTAAAATGATATGGTCTGGAAACAGTATGTGTTCATCTATCATTTTTGGCTCTCAACGTTCATTAATCTTTGTCCATTTGCATCTGTTAGAGACTGTGGACATTTGGAGTCGGTCTGAACAACTGGACAATGGCTGAGTCCAGATATATGATGTTCTTGAAAGTTAACCCACACATGCAGTGCTTTTGGACTGGTGAGGGACTTGATTTGAAATGACCTTGCATCTAAAACACATTGACTAAAGCCCTATTTGCACAGGATTAGTATTACCTGTAGCCCTTTGATATGTAATAATGCCTGAGATCTTAATCCCGTGCAAATGCGCCATGTCTGTAATTTGTAAAGTAAAAATTCCTCCACAAATTACCTACTATATTTTGCCAAACACAGACGTCCATGGTAATACTAGTCCCTTGCGAATCTGCATCTCAGTGTTTGTTGTTGTAACTGTGCACCTTTTCTATGTCTCTCTTTTCTTTCTGCATTCTTTTCTTTTTCAGTCTCTGTGTCAATGTCAATAAAAAAGAGGAATTTATGGACTTTGCTTAACCTGTGCGAATGTGCAAGTAACACAGAATTAGGTCGTTAATTTGCAAATTACCAGACGTCCTCAGGTTGTACTTATCCCGTGCAAATAGGGCTTAAGATATTTGTTAGATTAAACTGGATTGCATCATTTTTAAATTACCATCATTTGAATTTACAGTGAAAATGATAAAAGTTGTACACCTATATCATACAAAACAGGTAGCATGTATTACCTTGACATGTTTTCAACTGCTTTCTTCAGAAATGTGACGTGTCTTAAAGGATGCCATATTACAGTTTTTTTATCTATATTATAATGTTGTTTCTTCATCATAACCATACCTAAGCTTGTGTTTTGTTTCATTTACACATGTTTAACACACAAATCCTGCATATTTAGGTTAGGAATTCCTCATAAACAGAAAACACCACCTTATGATGCAATGTGGTAATACAGGATGTGCTTCACTCTGTTTTATACACTTTCACATGAATCATTTGGATATTTTAACCATGGAATTGCGTATCTCTACTGAACAAAAGGTAAAAGGTAGGTGTTAACTTGAAAGCAATCACTAGATGATGTCACAAGGTGGAAAAGAACATTTTGAGTTTTGGATATGTAGACAGACTAATACTCCAGGATTACTTAAACATATGTGAATGGAACAACAAGGTATATTTTTGATTAGCTAACAACTTTATAACATGACTTAAAGTTCAGAAGAGTCAATTTTGTGTTCAGGTGTGGCTATTCCAAGACAGCTGTGTATCGGGTTGACCACGCCCCTTGCTGGCTGTTGGTCAGTGGAAAAGTGCGAAAGAGTTGGAAAGCTCCCTTGTCTTGATTCAAAGTGCACGCGCCTCATTTCCTGATCTCTATTGCTTTTTTGATCCAGCGTCTGTAGTTATTGGATTCTTGGTTGACTGATGATTGGTCCCAGTCCATTTGCAATGATGTGTCTCAGATGTCTCACGATATCTCACAAAGATACAAGTTACAATTGAAATTTGTCAAGGTAATACATCATCTCTTACTTAAAATGTCTGATATAGATAGATAAATCATTCAACTAAAAAGACAAAACTAATATTCCTAATCTATTACAAGGACTTCAACCTCCACTGAGGATTACTCCATTCAGATTTGGCAATAATTTTGTAGCTGACTGGACTCCAACTTGGAAGTTATGAAGACATGACCTAAGCAAAAAAATAAACAAACTGTTGACTAGAGGGACCTCAAAAAATTGGCAAATTTTTGAATGATTGGAGACATTACACAGACCAATGCTGACTCTAAGTTTGATGTTATAAGACAGTATACCCAGAGAAAATGCACAGTGCCACAAGGAGGGCATGCAGACAGAACTCAGAGATATAGTATCCTTTGCCATCGTGGCCCCACTGAATTTCAACAGCAGAGACTAAATAGAAACTGTCATAAAAACCAAAGCAGAGTGTTAAAAAGAGCCCGTGTTTAATCTAACTATAATCCATGTAACTTTGGGTTTGTGCTCATAATATGGTGATGACAGACACACACATTTCTGCTGCGTGGATGATTCCAAACCTCCAGTCTTTGGTTGGGCACACATTGGTAAAACTGTGGTTGTCTGAGTGTCACCATGGCGACGTCAGCAGCAGCTCACCTTGGACACCTTGGTCAAGCCTGAATGATCATGGTCCGTCTCTGTAAATACTGTACCACGTAAGCTTTAGAAGTTTTGGCATTCATTTTAACTTCTCCAAAGGGATTTGTGTGAGAGTGTGCACTTCTTATCCTGATCCTATAAAACACCGTATATAGACAGATATCCTTGTGCTTCAGCAGATCTTGTACTCACGAGAGAAGGATGTGGTTTATGAAAATATGAAAGAATGCGAACACGGCATAAATGGGTCTCTGTGGAGCCTTGATGATATAATCTTTATATTCCTATAAACAATGTTTCCTGACAGAAAAAGGAAATGTCTTGCATCACATATTAAAATCATTATGTTTTATATTTTGAAGTGGAAAGCTGCTGGGAACCCATCTGCTCTCCCTTCACAGATCAAGACATTAATTCATTTTATACTATCAATATTTTCTCTCATTTCACTTGTTGCTTAATGCCTCTCATCAGTGATTTCAGCAAAACATCACGACGAAGAGTTTTAGAATAAGCCAAAAGATTGTGTGACTTGAATTACTGCCACAGATGTCGGGTGGGTTTCGTACTGTGTGTTTTAATGAATGTATCAGATGAATGGCTTGATCTCCCTCTGTCTTCACCACAACTGCCAGAGTATCACATGTCCCACTGAAGCCATATGCAGGCAAGGAAAGTACTGTAGGTTCTTCTATTGTGGGTGTATTAACACAAACCAATTTTATTACGAGAAACGTTAGCATAATAATTAAGTATGCCAACATCTGACTTATATTAGTATTAGTACAAGTTAGTATAAAGTTTTTATTGTAGCAGTAGTAGTACAGTAGTAGTAGTTGAAATGGAAAAGGCAATTACAGCAGCAGCAGTGGTAAAGTAACTTAAAAGTGCATTGTGTAACTTTTCAGGTAGAAGGTTGGACACTTGCTTGTCTGAAATGTTTCACAGGGTGGCATTAAACTTATCCATCTTCTTTTCATTCAATTATGGGTGTTTTTATTGCTCAAAGAACATGCACACCTACAGTCTGTGGGCCATCCTCTGCACAGATGTGACCAGTATCTTGGTCTGGTGGCATCTACTGCTTATTTGCATGGAGATCGTCAAGTTTAATACCATACTGTGAAACAATCCAAGCAAAGCATTCATCAACATCGATAAATGATAGAAACATAAACAGACCCTCCACATCCTCCAAGTTGCATAGTGCACAGTTAATGTAAATTATTAAATGTTATACACATATTTGTACTTTGAAATGCAATACTTCACTGAACACGTGCCTGGTGGGAACTGTTTTCCACTGCAGCAGATACGTCACTTTAATTATGTAAAAACAGAAAAAACAAAACTGTTTCATTTCCAGTGTTTATTGCGTTGCATTTATTCATAATCTCTGCAGAGGCCACCCATAAACAACAGCAGGCCTGACTGGGAGATCTGGACCACCATCAATGGTCACGAGCGCTCTGCCCCTACCCTGTCCCACATCTTAATTTACAACTCAACAACGTGCACTCCTCCTTTTTAAGCACACATGGGCCTCTATGTAAATCAATGTGGAAAAGAATCTGCTTTGATGCCATCAGAAGTAACTATCCTTTGCCTCTCCAAATGACAAATATAGCGAACTTATGTCTGTAAAAATGGCTTAAATGGCTACACTTTCAGTATTCCAAACAGCACAGTGGAGTGTGTAATTATGGAGAAGCTTCATATTAAGGCCTGAACCACCCGGGGAGATTTGTGCGGCTGTGTTTTATATGGTAACTGTCATTGAAAACATAACAATCTGGGGTTTGTTTTCCTCGTTCATTGAAGTTGTGGACTTCTGTGCTACTTCTAAAACAAATGGAATCAGTGCACTTTTTGTGAACTATTAATTTCTTCAAGAGGACCTGGATATGTTTACTGTTTAGAATTAATTCATACTATGCCTATTAAGGGTGACATTGGTGTTTCACTTATCTAGTGAGAGAACACAACCTTGAAATTAGAGAAGATGAAAATGGGTGCACACACACACACACACAACAATTAAAGAATAAGTAATGATTTTTAGAGATGAATTTCTGTTTATAGTGTAGTGTACTGTACTGGGAGCTACTTGTTGAAGTATAGAGGCTATTGATTTCAAGTTTAAAGGGCTAGACTTTCTTACAAAATGGCCAAATTAATAGTGAAAACTTTTGCAGGCTACTTCTTTCATCTTGTATTTCATAGCCTTTAAGTGTTGTGACGTGGAGCCAGCCAAAACATATTGGTGAACCCACTGAGTCTGCTCTCTGTCATTGTTTGTAGAGTTGTTCTTGGAATCCACTTTGTGATGACAGCAATGTCGTATTCGTGTTTTCCATCAAATCTTTTCATCTGGTTCTGCAACACTGAACTCACTGGTCTATTATTACCAAACTAGACTTTGGTATTCAACCCCATAGCAACTGCTGATTACTGAGCATGAGTAGACAGTGGGCCTATCTGAGGGCTACGGCTGATGACAAGGTTTTTGTAGTTTAAATTAAAAAGTAAAAAGATAAATTACTGTATTTAGCCTATTTATTATTTTATCTAGGCTCCAGGTAATTATATTGCGTTTGATATGATTTATGAAACAGAAGATTCTGTATCTCAAACTCTGCATATTGTGAAAATAACCAAGCTTATAACGAATACTTTTCAACTTTTTACATAATTTGACTTTATTGAGGTGCGCAATGTACCTGGTTACAAATTGTTACGTCATCTGCACCGATGTAAGCCCCGCCCACCAATTAACGACGAGCTGAAACGACTAAACAGGTGCTCTGCGTCCACAAACAGTCAGAAATGTATCCCTGTGCTAAGTTGATGTTTACAATTATCTTTACATAGAAAGTCTAGTTTTACAGCACAAAACAAGTTAGGGTGAGATAGGTGTGTCAAGTGTCATGGGTCAACAGAACCGGAAGAGGAACAGGACTGATCACGTCTTTGTGGACATCAATTGAAAAACATTACGCACCAGGTTGATTCCATGAGGACAACGCGAAGAAGCTCGACTCAAAGGTAAGTTACAAGAGTCATTTACCAAGTTAAATGGTCGCTCTGTTTTTTGTTTTTACTAAAGCAGTCCCTCTATTTGATGGTTTACATTTGTTGGTGCTACTTTGCTGTGCGCATGAATCTTGTTTGGAATTGGCTATTTAATTTAGGCTTAATTTAACATCTTTTCCCTGTTAAACACGATTTGAAAAGCACTCAATCTTAAACGGAACATCTGCATTCTATTTTTGGACCATGCAGGCGAAATTAAAATAATTCGTTGACCATCACTGCCCCAACACTGCAAACCAAGGATATCCATCAATGTTGTGTGGCTTTCTGAGGTCTTTGGGTTTGGACAGGATTACAAACCGTGAAAAACAAGTGGTTGAAATATTTCTGTTGTTCTTTTTCACTGGAACGAAAATATTTCTTATGAAAAAAATGAAAACATGTTCTCATTTATATCACACGCCTGTTTGGTCACTGATATGTTTTATTAGAAGGGAATATAAGACAATAAAGTCATCTCGACCTGGCGTCTATTCATGAGAGATGCACTTGAATATAGAGTTTTGAAGTGTTTGGTCTGTGTCTCCTTTTGGCTATGCACCACCTCTCTGAGCCTTGTTCTGGTCAGGTCTCCAGACTCTTGGGGACCGTTTCAAAGGCCTAGCGGGCTAAGTGTTACATATCGGTGGTTATATGGTGGTTTAGACTTAGACCTGGGTCAGATGAATCATCCTGTCTCCATATACAATGTCTTGTTTTGGTCTGGGAAACTTAGTTCTCATATTAAGCGTATTGAAATTTTTGGGATCTAATCTTGGTCTGTGGCACACCATGTCTTGGATGGGTTTTCTGTGTTTGAGTGTGGAGTAAAACAATATTGTGACAGGAAGTTAAATGGTCTGTATTATTAACCTTTGTGTATACCTATGTCCAAAAGTAGGTTCATAGTAATATCTATAGGCCTATGCTAGCTGTGATTGCTTGCTTGATGTCAGCTATCCAGCAACAGTGTCAGTGTAGTGTGAGCTCTTATTCTACTTTTTGTGCAGTTTGAAAAAGAAGTTCAGTTTTCTGGAATAAATGTAACCTTAAGTACATAGTGTGCTGTTTTTTTTAAAGTCAGTTGATAATTTAATCATTTGATTAAGTCTAAAAGCATTGGATTGGCACACTGATGATGGGAAAAGATGCCAGCTTCACCACAGGAGGCAGTAAAACACAGGTTTGTACTTGTAAATTCTGTTACTGGCATTTCCAACCACAGTTTCCTCCTCACTATTCCTAATAGAATCACTTGGGATGACTAACTTCCTTTGCCTCAAATCTGGATGGATATCACAACCTCTCATTGCTCCCATCACTTTGTAACCCAATGAGTGATTTAAGCAGTTTAGCCTGTAGCTGTCCCGCACAGAGCCGCGCTGAGAGGCAGGAATAATAACTAAACATTTGATTTGGCTCACATGTGTGTGTCCATGTTATTTCATCAGGACTCAGAGGGACATACATTGCATACAAGGGTGAGGTTCAACAATGATGCAGTTACTGGCCATTTGGGAGAGGAGGAGCTTCCTGATCAGCTTTGTTCAATAACCTCTGAATCTGGGTCCACAGGACACCGGAGGATGTCTTTACTGGAGCCAAAACTCTGTGAGAGAGTTCAGCTGCTGCACACCTGCTGCTCCATCTGCTCCCCTTCACTTGTACCTGAGCTGACTGAGAGTGCAGTCTTTTACATTAGTAATGGTACAAGTGGTTTTCAGAATCAGGCTGTATTTTTTTTAAAAAGTCTTTGTTTTCCAGATAAGTATTATGATTTCATTTCCAACTTGTTTATAAATCCTAGAATCCCATACATTTCAGAGCATGTTTGTAGGGGCCCAAAGAGTAGCTGACTAGCATGTAGTCAGATTAGCTACATTTTCTGCTGGATATTTCCTTGCCTTTGTGATTCAGTGGTACAGAGGTACAGTGAAAAAAGAGCTCAAAGTTTGAACTGAACTGAGACCAAACAAAATGATTTGAATTGAATATGGACTTAAACTTGAAATGACTCTTGACCTTAATAAAAGAGCCTGCAAACCACCAGAAGTCCCATTATCACATTTTGTGGTTCTTAGTAAGCGCAAATGACTCGTCACAATCTAAACTATTTGTTTAGTCCTCCATCTCAGTCACAAAAATGACGTTGTTTCCCCTCATCAAACGTAAACGCTGCCAAAAAGCCTGATGTGGATTTCCCAGCAAAGCAACGCGAAGTGGAACTATTTAGAGGTCATGAAACATTAGCTGCAGCTCACAGCAGCTGAAGCGTGATGGACGCACTGGAACATTAACAAGTCACATTCTGTTTTTGAAGATGGAGTTTGTCATTTGCTTAAGATGTTAGCGGTATTGACATGCAATGAGAATGAAATCCCCAAAGCGAGGATCAGGTTTTATGTGTGACTCATCTGACTGTTGTTCTGGCTGTACAAAGCAATTTCCATTTTCAGGGTTTCACTTTTATGACTTTAAACAAGCTGTGATTAGATGTGTATAGCAGCTGTCTCAAGGAGAGTTTCCCTTAACACTTTTTTGTCTTGAGTTGTAAATTTGACATTTATTTAAATTGAGTACCTTGAAACCTCAATACACTTGTAATTCACACTTTACTTTTACCAACTACTGCTCAAAGGAAGTGTTCTGGAGGAGTGCACAGCAGGTAGGCCCCCTCAGTCACTCCTCAATGGACCAGTCTGTACAGTTCCGCTATGTTTGCCTCCTATTAGACGTGAACCACAAAGATCTAAACCCACAGGCACTAAAATGGTCCAGCTTGTTAAATCTCAGACCACAAGTTTGATCTATGTATTGTGGAGAATGAGGCTTTAATAGTAAATGATCTCACTGGAGTCTCCCTTAGAAGGAACGGGCAAATAAAAAGTACCTTTGTATCCAAAGAAACCTGATGTAAATATACAAACACCATTACTTTACAGATCACTTGGCTACATAGTTTGTTATATTTGAATGAATAATTTAGAGTTATGTTTTTTTCTTTTGTTGGGCTTTTTATTTGTTTAGGAGAAAATTATTTTTTTCACCACAGCAAATCATCTTTTATGTTGTGTTGAAGGAAAAGGCTCAGTACTTGGATGTCATGTAGATCAAGGTCACAAGTTTGTCCTATGTATGTGAGACTTATTGATACTTCTTCAGAAAGAAACTCTTGTTGTGATACAGGTTTTAGTATTAAGGTATGGATAGCTGTTTTGACTACCCTCTCCACATATCTAGATAGAACCCAAAGTAGGCTGATCTAATCCGAAAATCCTGTTCTCTCATCCTTTAGTCCAGCACATAAACACTTATTACAAGGTGATTGGTTTAGGATTGTGGTTTACATTTTCTGTTCACTCTTCATCTAATACTTCTGTTACAAGAGCTGCAGGCTGTGAGTCATCCATTGTCTGTTTCTTCATCTCTCTCTGACAAAGGCTCCCTGCAGAAAGCCCCTATTTCATATTTATGTCACTCTTTGGCTCCTTTTGAAGAAGCAAAGGGAATTTTTACTTCAAGAGATAATTGATAACTTTAACTTGTAATTGTAGTGTTTCCTTATGATGTCAATAAGAAATCATAGTTGGACTTTGTAGCACGCTCAGAAATTGCTCATTTACACGCTACAATCAGTGCTGGTGCAGTTCTTTCGTCTAAATATGACTTCATGGGCTTGGTAATGGCTTTAGTGTTTAAGATGAAGCTTAATATAATGGTCTTCAGAATCCATCAGAGAGATGAGGTCAGTCTGCGCAGGTGAATTGTGCCAGTTCTCCACAAGAGGGCATAGACGGTGTTGCTCCAGGCGACTCGCTCTCCTCCTCCTGGACATGCTATTGGAGCGTAATCATTTATAAGATGTATGTCAACTATAACATGTGCAAGTGGCAATCAGAATTAGTGTCAACATCTTTTTTCATAGAACCACAAAGTATGGAATAGAGTTATGACATTTGTTTTTCAAATTCAGCACAACATTTTGGTACTAAAGAAAGACATTAATACATGATGGTGATTTTTAATACCACAATGATGAATTTGACATTTCAATACATTTTTTTGTCTCATCATTTGGTCTTTTTTTAATCTGTAACAGTATCTATACATCCTCAAATTTAGTTTTAGTATTGATTTATTTATTTTTTTAAACCTTATTCTCCAGTAATATGAACTCATTACATGTGTATGTTGTTGATGTAAACAGTGAACATTTACAAGTAGAGTTGAACCAATCCATTGTTTTCAGTTCCGATACCGATTTATCAGCCAATCCCCAGTATCAATTGACACCAGCACAAAGACTGAAAACATAATTTATTTCCTTAAAGCAAATATAAAAAAGACAAAACTGATTAACATTTGTTATGTAGTTGTTCTTTATTCTCGAGTAACCACAGAACAGCTTTTTACAAATAAAAGCTTAAACATTATGAGATATTCTTGGCTGACTACAATCAGTAAATGGTCTTATTACATAATTTTTTATGTCCAACCAAGATATCTGCTGAACTGGTACTTGGAAGCAGATATCCGATCCAGCAAATTTTTCAGTATTCGCGTCGATATCAGATACCAGTATCAGATTGGTGCATCCCTATTTACAAGTTCCAGCATGTGCTCTAGGTTCTCAAAGTCACAACTGTAATTTCTATCTAGTTCATTTGCCGCTTAATGTATACCACTTTTTAACCACTCTGCCTAGACCACATTTAAAACCAGGAACCATAGAAAGAGAGATGTTTTCTACAGCTGCTATATGCCTTTAATGTTTCTTCACCGCTCCATGCCCAGTGCTGAGGCGACGGGGGCTGTGAAGTGGTCACATGGGCTCACCTGCCGGTCAGCACCACGTCAAGCGCTGACCCGGGACACAATCACAGCTTGATTTAGTGAAGCATGTGGTGAGGGCTGCTGCTCGTCCTTGCAGTTGGTGTGCCGTTACAGATAAGATTGACTTTGTGAATGGCACCATATGTCACGTCTATGTTTTGGGCTCCAATGAAAAACAGAAGACACTGAGGTTCATTATGATATATTTCATATTTCTGGTTTAATCAGTATATAAAAGGACAGATTCAAGCAGCATGTGTGGGTGTGCAATGTTGACAAAATCAAAATTTTTGAGAGTATAAGATAGGTAGGTGTCTGTTAAAACATACCTTTTAAAATATATTAGTTTTGGTTTAAAAATAAAGACTGCAGAATTATTACTTGTAAAATCACTTTATACCCTTAGTTTTGTTTGTTTTTTCTCAATTTAGATTTTTAATCAGATATTTTTTAAGCATTTTTTATGTTTTAAGCAAAATTCCTACTAGCTGTTCATCTTCACCAAGTCTTGAACTAAGCTGGAAGTGGAACAAACTGTTTTAATGCAAAAATCTGCAAGTCAAGATAACTACAACATTTTCAATAAAATGGCTGTTACTCTTTTATCATTATCATAAACACTTTGTATTTACTTATTTGTTGCATTTAAATGGTCTTTTAAGGTGTTGTAACCAGGTGTCAAAGAGGATGACCCAGCCCCCTCTCTGCTCTTAAGTAAGTGAAAGGCCGTCCCAGAGTGAAAGATGTAGTTGCTGTCTGTACTGGGCCTGTGCTCTACCATTAGCCTCCTTCTGCCCATAAAGCTAATTCATACCTCTGGACAGTGTAGTGTCGGTGTAAACACAGGGGCAGCTGGTGAGACAACCAAGCGCTGCTATTGAGGCTATAATGCAGTGCACTTTGGATTCACTCTTGTCTGAAGGACCCCAGCTTGGAGACAGCCACACAAAAGAAATATTTGTCCAAAGTGCCCAAGCAAACAGCCGATGGAGGACTGAACTTTCCCATCACAGTACGGCGTTTTGAATGACATGCAATTGAAAGAGCAGCGGGTTCAGATTTAAAAACAGCCAGAAGCAAAAGTGACCACTGACAAATGATGCACCTGTTCCATTACACTGCGCCCTGGGCAGAATCTGGCGGGCCAAAATAGATTTTATGATAATGAAACCGCCTTCAGACTAAACAATGGTTTGGCTGCATTTTCAAAGTCGACAAGAAACTGGTATAAAACATATTCATTTTCAACCATGCTTACTCACATTAATATTTATCTTCTGATCTTTAATATGTTATTGTAGCAACCACATAAAAGTTTGAAGAAACAAGCCAAGTCTTTATGGAAAGTCAATGATTACCATATGTAAAGATTAAGGACAGCCTTATAGTTGTACAGGTGATACACTTCTTAGAAAATGACTTCTCCTTTTCTTAATATATGTGAGCTTCTCCATCAGCAGCATTACAAAAGTCAGGAAGTCTTTCTGACACTCTGGAATAGCTTAAATCTATAAATTCATTGAAGGCTTTGGTTCCGCTGTAGTGGTGACTCCAATAGGCTTCCAGAGTGCAGTGAAAGGGGTTGCCACGGCAGTGAAAGCGGCCTGTTTGCTCATGTCCAGACCAGCAGAATGGATGAGGACGCAGATGGTTTTTCTGTCTGCTGGACCTTTCTCCTGACCTGGCCCCTGTGTGTTTGGAGAGACATGGAAACCTTTGCTGGAATAGATAGGCATTTTATTGAATGAGGGTTAGCTTTTACCTCACGTCAGAAAAGGAAGCAGAAGACAAGCAAGAAAAATCGTTTGAATAGGGAATTTGGTTAAGTATAAATAATGGAACGGCATGCTTTCTGTGACACGTTTATTTGTGTAGCACATGTAGAGAAATGATACAAAGTGGGAGTCCTGATTCAGCCGAGGCGTTTCCAGGCCTTGCCCTCAGAGCTCCCCAGAGCCACAGTCATAAAACTTCAAAGTCTCAACTGAAGCAATCATCTGGGTTTGTTCTAGTCTCCATGTCGATTACTTGTGCTGTTCGGCCTTAACCATGGGGGATTCACAGAAGAGGCTAAAAGTGCATCTCCAAAAACTCTGTCCAAGAAACACAGCACTTTGCTTGGATGGCTGCTGCCGTATCTTAAGTTAATACTGATACCCTATTAGGAGACACACAGACTGAAACACTTTTTCCATGGCTGATCTTTAATTTTTCCACTGCAAGGTATTACTGCCTCTGTGGTAGCTTTGTTTTGTTGTCTTAACAACATCAGAGTATATTTGCATCGGGTAGAGGGCCCTCTTTAAACATTTATAAACTTAAAGATGGATTACATTTTTATCAGGATTTCTCTATGTTCAAGTGGAGCCTGCCCATGTGCCTGGAACCAATTAGTTTGCCCCCGGTGCACTTAAGTGATCCAAAAGCAATTGTTTGTGAGGTTGAAGGGGCAGCAGTTTACTTGTCCTTTCAAGGTGTCTTATCTGACAGATGAAGGGTGCATTTGTTGGCATGCTTTAAACACACATGTTGTGTAATACTAAAACGTGCAGTTTCTCTAAGTATTAAAGGTCAGCTGCCTTACGACCTTGTTAAATGCTGAAGTGAAAACGAAAGGGGGGCAGGGCTCCCATGGTGCAGTTGTGACTTGCTGACAGGTGTAGTGTGATCAGGGGTTAAAGGTCAAGTTAGAGTTGCCATGACAGTGCAGGTCTAAAATTGTCTGGTAAAATGCTGCTTGGGCAGAAACCAGTGTTTATGAATGCTTGTGAGAGTGTGCTAAAATGTGAAGTACTTCCTGCAGGTTTTGAAAGACATGCAGTAATGAGTTTATTCTGTCAAATCAGGACTGTGTTGTATGAGGCACTTTCATGTGGGGCTTGTCCTTGGGCAAATGTAAGTGTGATAGAAAAGTACTCTGTGGCTGCCACTTTTCAGCTGTGTTATTCCCAAATGAAATGGCCTCATGTTTCAGATAGTGGTCCTCAAACATTCCCCCTGACAGCAGTTGTGAGTGAGCTGACATGTATGTTAGGCCTTGTGGAACAGAACTTAGTTTCAGAAGTGCGGTACGGCCACATTAACATCAGGTTAAACCAACATTGGGAGTGGGAGTGAGCCAACATCATTAGAGAGGGAGCCAGGCTGCAGAGTCACGTTACATTCAGAGACCTTCAGAGCTGCCCTCAACCTGATCATTAGCCCTCACCATACAAGACCTGAATAAGAATGTAAACAAGGGAAGCATTTACTATTTACATTGCATTGTTACTTTCCCCCGAGTTTATCACTATTGAATATTTATTACTAGGCAAGACGTTACAAGGAATATAAATTTTAATGAAAGGATGAAAAAAAAAAAACATTTCTGTTTTATTATATTATGAATAGGAATGTGAATGGGACAAGATCTCGTGCCGCAATATTATGCACACATGGAAACCATCACACTTACGAATACTAAAAAAAGCAGAATACTTGACACAAAAAAAATCAATAACTCAATAGCTGTAGTTAATCAGAATAATTGAACTTACTAAGCTTTTGGAAGCTAAAGCTTCGATACTAACCAAGTAACTTTGGGCTTTGTGTTAGTGACTGTGGCTTCCACTAACCTTCATCAGCCGATTTCACTTCGTAGAAACTGTCTGACCTTGCAGCATTAGAATTTGTTTGCTTGACGGTAGGCAGGTACTTTTTAAAATTTAACCAGTCGCTACTATTTGTTCGTGGCATATGTAATGCACCGCTACCAGGGCTAACTGGTATATTAAGCTTTTCCCAAATCCCGTAGGAAGAAGGGCAATAACGTCTTTCCCCTTGATAAAATTCACTGAACATTCTCTTTATTCGAGCTTTAAATCCTCGATCTCGAGAATCGTTGTCAACACAGAATGTATGGCTCTTCGCTGATTGGATGGTGCCCAAACTCGCACTTCTGGGGTTTTTGCTAACCATTTAGTCTATTCCAATTCCTGACCTAGTCGCTGGAGAGAAATGAAACTGAGCGGAGGCACTAGGTGGAGCCAGCCTGGCTAGGCTTCCACTGGATGTGACGATGAAGCTACCAGGTTTATTGCCATAATTAAGAGGCAATCAATGCAAAACTGGCTTAATTAATTGAGGCAAATATTATTGTTAGTTTGATAGTTGTTAAACTCTCGATCAAGATTTGCTTCAGTTGGTCAGTTTTATTAACATGGAAGATTTGTCTGGAAATCAACTTTTGTGCAGGAGGTGAACATCTGATAAAGCAGCTCTAAATGGGCAAGGACATTGTTAGAGTAAAGCTAGACATTTTACACTTTTAAACTATACTTGTTCTGTCTTTATTCCACAGTGATAGGTCAACATTTTGTGTAGTGGCGCAATCTCAAACTGAGCAGTCACTTTTGCCTTGGACATTTTTGCAAATGTCAGTTTTCAACTTTGGAGTTTTCAACTTGGGCTACATGAAAACATCAGACAGGAGGCTAATTTCTCAACAGGAGCGTGTAATCCAGTGACATCGCTCTAATGCTGCAGCCTTCACGTGTCTGTGGCCTGGATGTGACATCATGCTGCAAGGTTAACCCAGTGCTGAGCCAGGCCTTAATGAGAGCCACACTAGAGCTATTACACTCACCAAAAGAAAGTTTAGCCTGTTACCATCAGCAAACCACCACCACCACCACCATCCTCTCCTCTCCCTGCCCTGCACACCCCAGCCCCCCCCCCATCACCAGCTGGCTAACAGATGGGAGGACCTGTTGGCCAAGAAAACGAAAAATGTTATAAAGATGAAGAGTGGAAAGAAGTTTAGCATTCATGTATACAAAATGCTAAGTATATGGACGTTTGAATGGGCACTTTGGGAGACATTTTTCCGAGTGGTGAGGATGTGCGTAGGGGTGACACTTGGCCAGGGTTGCTGCTTCACTCATTCGATGCTAGCGTTTGGCGCATGTTTGTTTACGAGGCTTGCGAAACGGAGGAAGTCAGATTGTGCGGGGGAAGGTGATGAGAATGTCAGAGGATGGGAGATGGAGCGGGCAATAGCTAACTCCTCAGCTATGTGTGTGCGTTTCTGTGAGTATGTGTGTATTTGCGTTTGTGGTCAAGGAGCTGCACAGGGGAACCATCTCCGTCCTGCTGATATTTACCTTACAGGCCCTTCAGAGAGGAAACCAGTGGGCGTGGTGGGGATCAACAGGGACTTGTCCTGCTAGATTCCTACAAACACCACTTTCTCACATCCAAGAGGGTCGCCCCTATCCCAGTGAGGGGACTTCTCTGTGTGTTAATGAGTACAAAGTTTGGATCATGTGTGCACAGGTGGCAGCAATGGCCCACAGGAAAAGAGTCCCAATTTCAGTGTGGTCTTTGTTGTTTTTTGTCTCAATGGAGATGTTGTGCATATGTAAAAACATTTTGAGATGTTGAGAAAGGATCGCTATCAACAGTGTACTTAAAAAAGCCTGCCAAAGCAAATTGATGACTTCATGTTTCAAGAGTGACTATCAAAATGTATGATATAATATCATGAGACATTAAACACCTGAGAAAACACTGATAGAATAATATAATAATTATACTGTTACCTAATGACATGTCTGAAAATGGGTTAGCATCTGCCTTCTCATTCTTACCATCTGCCACCATTTAATCGGAATATTAATGTGACATTTGCATTTGTTCATGACACATTTTATATTATGCTTTCTTTACAGCAAAAGGAATGTTTTTCAGAAGCACTGAAGGAAATTGAGATTTTGGATACACAACATTTGTGGTCTGTGAACTCTCAATTTTGTGTTGTAAACATGCACTAATAACAAAGCTTGTTTCTCTCGGCAACACTAGTCAACCTGCCTGGAGCACAAGCTTAAACAGATGAAGATGGATGAGTTGGTGACAGAGCAACTGACCAGGGGTTAATGGCCTCAGACGCCTTCAGAAAAAGTTAATGATTAGTTTCTCATCAAATACTCCATCAAAGCTCAAATGTCTGATTTCCCTTTTGTTTTCCATGAGGTGACATGGCCCGGTCAGTGCTACTCTGTCAGCCTGATGCTGCAGCTGTAAAACCATTTAACATTTGACTGTGTAACAATGACCTGATGATTCTCACACAGGTGGCACATTTCTTCAGTCATTTCCTGTCAGTGGTAAACGTTTGCTGCACTTTGAATATGTTTAATTTACTTACATTTATTTCAGGTTACACTCATTGGTTTCCCCATGAAGCTCTAAACATGAGCAAATGTCTTCCTACATTTGAACCTACAGATAAATGGCTTATTGGTTGTCTATAAATGCACCAGGCTGGAATGGGAGTGAGGTACATTATGGCTATGGGACATAGCCAAAATTAGTACAGCTACAACCCAGTCTGGAAACATAATAAAAGTAGTCATAATTCAATTTAAACATATTAATCATTTCCTGAAAATGCTTCAATGGAATTGGATTACTGTCCTGGCCCATAAATCAATCATATTCAGGAAGTGTCATGTACATTTGGAACAGTAATGCTTTTATACCTTTTACCTCCACTCTCAGAACTTCCTAATTCAACAAGTATCCATAGAATCCATTCACTTATATTTTACTCTTTTACAACTCGACAAATAACGATCACCGTCATTACAGCATCACAAGTTGGTGTTTACTTCCTCCAGCCCGGCCCCTCTCTCCACTCA